TCAGGATAGAATAGGGTTCAGATCTACTGGTCGTAGGGTTGCTGTGAGTCATAGTCAATTCGATGGCATCTAACAACAAGTCCCTTAGGCAGCATTCCACCAATTGTTTGGGCTGCTGTGAGTGAGCTTCCACCTATGGGGACCTTAAATACAACACAACAAAATACCCCCCCCCCAGACACAACACTACCATCTTCATGATCTTTGGCATATTTGAGCCCATTGCGGCCCCTGTTGGTTTGGGGCCTTCCTACCTAAGGGACTCCTGTTTCAGCCTTCTCTCGGGCGGTATTCCCTTGTGAGCATCCAGGGTTCATTGCCTGGTTTTTAAAAATCAATAGACCTTCCTTCTTAGCTCAGATATCTTAGTCTGGAGTTTCTGCCGAAATGTGTCTCTTCTGTGAGCGGGCCTGCTGGCATGTGGTGCTGGCACGTGGCATGGCTTCTAGCATCACAGCCACACGTAAACCCCTACCAAGACCTGCATCGTCCTGATGGACGACGCATCAGTCCCCAGCCCTCTGCTCGCCCTCCTCCTTTGCCTTCTTTAATTTTCTTTAGTCGTTACCGTTTTGGTCCACTTCAATTAGACCTGAAAGGTAGTGCATAGCCAACCCCCAGGGCATCTGAACTGGGCCGTGGCAGGCTGTGCACATCGAGACTCTCTACCCGCCTTCAGTGGAAGGCTATGTGTCCCTTCCCCGGGCAGCAGCCACGTAAAATGCCTGCACAGTGTCTGCTCACCCTTTCCCAGGTTGGCACTTGAGGAGTCAGTGGCTCACATCACAAGGGTACTTTGTACTCCGGTGCTTCCCCCCGCCCCACACCCCTCCCGTGGAATAACTCCTTCTAGTGTTACTTCTCTTTTCTGTGAGCGAGCACTTTCCCCATCAATATGACTGAACAGGTGTTGCTCTGCTGCTCACTGCGTTTCCAGCTGTCCTCCTCCGACACAGACCAGGCGAAATCTGTTGTTGGGTCCGCTCGGGCAGACAAGAGAAGCGCGGAGCCTGAGATGGAGGTCTTCCTCGCAGGATATGGAGGTTCAACTGCCAGAAGATGGTCAGGAACGCCTGGCTGACTAACAAAGACAGGCCTTCAGCGTCTGGGTGGAGTCCCAGTTCTGAGTCCCCTTTGGCAGGAGCATAGAGGCTGCTGCAGTGTGGCCAGCCAGCGAAATTAGGAAATAAGGACCTCTTTTATTTACTCAGGCTGCTGAATCATGGGCATTCCTGTCTGCTTGGAGGAGAGTCAGGCGGCTCTCCTTTCCACGGAAAGTCTCAGGAGTGTTGGGGACTTTCATCTCCCAGTGTTCACACACTTGTTTTAATGTGCTTTATGGAAATGGTGAAACTCAGCAAGTACAGTTGCCGTAGAAAAAACATCTGCACTAACTGTGCACACACATTTACATCTTTAAATAGACTTTCAGGCCAGGCAGTTAGTTTCCAGCCGCCCCGGCTTCTGCCTCCCTGCCCAGCAGGCTTTGAGGGCTTCAGTGCAAAGCCACCCATTTCGAAAATGAAAAGTTACCTGGAAGGGTTAAGTAGTTCACGGTGAAATGCAGAAACTTGCCCTGACACACAAAGATTCTCTCTGTAAGTAGCACTTAGTGAGTGGCCAAGAAATAAAACAAAACAAAACAAACAAAAAAAAGACCAAACCCCCCAAATTAAAGAGCCACAGAATACTAGAAAACCAAAGATGAAGTTGATTCACAAATGGAGGTCTAAAAGACTCCCCCCCCCCCCAAGTTCCTTGCACGTGGAGAATGAAAGGAAAATTGTTTGGATCTCTTTAGTAACAATCTAAACATCATTTGCGCATGATGTCCAAAAAGTGTAAGTTTTATAGGGGCTGGAAGCTGTCAAGGACTTCAGGAGAGACCTGAGCATGTTAGAGAACTCTAGTGGTCTATTGGATAAGGAGTTGTGCTGCCTAAACAGAGGCAAGTGGTTTAAATCCACCAGGTGCTCCATGGGCTAAAGATAGCCACTCTCCTTCTGCGCAGTTTCCAGCCTCTGCAAACCCAGGGGAGGCTCAGCTCTGAGTTGATTCTGACTCTACAGGATGTGATATTGGCAGCACCATGAGTCGCAAACGACTCGATGGCACATAACAACAACAACAACAATACCTTTAAAACGTGAGTCATGCTTCTGTGAGGTTGTGGGTTCCTTGTGCACCCTGGGAGAAGAGACTTATATAATGCAAGTAAAGTGAGATTTTTCAACTTAATATTTTTTTAAAACAGAGATCAAATCATTAATAAAATCTTTCTAAAAAAACAAAACAAAACAAACCCTATCATTCCCCAATCGTTTTTCTCTCTCCATTATTCCATCCCCTGACCCTGAAAATAGGGAATTCTGTAGGTTTTTGTTTGTTTGTTTTTCTTTATTTCTGTTACAAACATGTTATCATCTATGATAGCTACTTCTTTTTTTAAAAAAAAAAAAAAAGAACAAACAAATTTTTCATTCTAAAGTTGTAAGTATTGGAAGGAAGGCAGTGTCCATTTCCAGCTCCCTTGAATCCTAGTTTTGTGTAAAATCTTGAACCTGACCCTCAGCTCACTTGACATCTAGTTGAAATTTACAAGCTGAAAGGAACAGTTATGTAATAAGTATAGTCAGGCATGGACCACAAACAAAAACCCGATTTAAGCATGGTGTCACTGATTGCACACTATTTATAACGGTCCATTGCTCACTCTTTATCCATTTGTATGATAATATATCATGCTTGTACATAGTCTACAATTTAATAATAAATTCACTTACTACAGTTTCAGGCTCAGTAGTTAATATTCTCCCAGTCTAGATGCATGACAAATTCTGATTCACTCTTTTCCCCAAATGTACAAATGAGATGATGTTTTTGAAAATATTTTTAAATGAAACAACAGGATTTCAGCTTAAAAGATAAAACAGGATATGTTGTGGTGAATGCTTAGCAAATTTAGTTAGATTTCTGTTCTTTCCAAGGGAAAAATATTAAACACTTGGATTTGTTTTAAGAATATCAGATTTTGATGACTTGAGACTTTTTTACAGGGAAAGGTGGAATTATCACTGGAGGGTTTTATTATTTTTTTAAAATGGCTGTTAATTTTTTAAATAGTTACTCTATAAGCTAGATGCTTTCCACCTCCACTATATTTCCACCCTTAAAGATAAATAACACAATTATCAGGTCCTTTCTTATAACCAGTAACATATTGGGTTATAAAATCATATAAAGGAGGATGCAAAATCATGCGGTTTTCAACTTGTGTCATGAAGCTTTGTTGCACTGGGCAGGGATCCAGGAATGGCGTTTGGTTGTTTTCTCAGAGTTAGATGGTTGCCATCTGGCATTGATATGAGATGGTGTTGTCATCAGTTTCGAGATGCAGGAAAGGAATGATCCTCATCTGTTTCCTGTGGATAAGCGAGAGCTTGATAATCTAGTAAAATCTTGTTACCTTAAAGAAAGCAGACTTGGAATTTGTTTATGCAATGTTCACCAGGTTTGTCTTTAATGTTAATAATTCAGATTTAGCTTGTTGGTGAACTTTATTTTTAGAGAATTGAAGTTTTTGTATTATAATTGAATCTTATTCGAGTTGTCTCATGATTATTCTAAGTGAAACTCTTTATTCTGATAGAAACACTATCCCCGTTACCTCCAGTTGAAATACTATAACTTTTCTCTGTACGTGAGAAGTTTCACTATTTGGGGAAGTGAAAAGCTTTTCAAATTTCTCCTGATTTTGAATGACATATTGTTTTTGAAAATGGCAAAAGAGGTTTCACACCTTCTTTCAACCAAGATCTTACATTCCCCTTGGTTTATAAAGAAGACAACAGATACCGAGTGTGTGTTTGCTAAAAAATATAGTTTTAAAAGTGCCACCTGGTACAAAGTAGAGTTACTTTAGAATAACTTGCTCAGTTTATATCTGGCTTTCAGTATTGTTTGTCTTCTCTTTGTTACTCATAAATCTTTCAGCATTTACCATAATCATTTATCACTTTTCCTGTTTCCAGTTTTTCACAAGTTGCTTTGTTTCTGCTCACCTCAAAGTGCAGGTCCTGTTTAGCTAAGGAAGTTCAGGCCACTGAAGCTTTTGCAAAAGGAAGAAATGGTGGACCACCTCTTGAACTTCCCAAACAAACGACGCTATTAAAATCTGGCCCTTGTAAAACTCATTTTTTTTCCTTCCTTGATCCCGGCTGATCCCAGCCACATGTAATATCTAGCAGTACCCTTCCAGCATTTAATAATCCATTTTCTGGCCTGTGGAATTCGAATCTTTCTATTATTGAAGAAATCCTGGTTGTCTTTCATTACACAAGACATAATTATTATGGTGTTTTCTGTCTTCTTTCGTGTACTTACTTTTTAATATTTTTTTGCTGAAAGCAATAAGGTCTGTATCAATAATAACCCTATAAAAGATTTTGGTCTTCAGGATTGCCTTTTTCTATAAAAACAAGCAAAATGCAGAGGGAATTTTTTATTAAATATTAGACATCTGGGTTGGCTGCATTAATTTTAAATCATTCCTGTAATATTTCCCCTTTTCATTTGGCTCTTCAGATGCTCACATAATATGCAAATCATTTTAGAATGAATACAAAAGAAACATTAAATATATTAAAATCTGCATTTTAATAAAATTGTCAATGTGTAATATATACCTTGCTTCGAAGGAAGAATGTTAAAAAGTAATAAAAGGGTAATTTAGACATAGAACTATTTAATATCTTTTTCTATTTTACAATCCAATGGAAAAAAAATCAATGTAGAATAAAAGCAGTTGGGGCTCAGATTTTAAAATAACCCATTTCAAATATTATGTCCTCCTTTTTATCTCCTGGAAGGTTCTAGATAGTCCAAGTAGGTCTGCTTGTTAAAACAGTACATTTAAAAAAAAAAACAAAGAAACAGTACATTAGACTAGCGCTTGAATTCTCAGCATGCAAAGTGAATTGTCCCATTGCTTCTTCTTGCAGATGGAGTGGATGTTGAGGATGACCCCACCTGTTCTTGGCCTGCTTCCTCACCTTCCAGCAAGGACCAGACTTCCCCCAGCCATGGAGAAGGTTGCGATTTTGGGGAGGAGGAGGGTGGCCCTGGACTTCCATATCCCTGCCAATTCTGTGACAAGTCGTTTAGCCGCCTCAGCTACCTAAAACACCATGAGCAGAGTCACAGTGACAAACTGCCTTTCAAATGCACCTACTGCAGTAGGCTGTTCAAACACAAGCGGAGCCGAGACCGCCATATAAAGCTCCACACGGGGGACAAGAAGTACCACTGCAGCGAGTGTGACGCCGCCTTCTCCAGGAGTGATCACTTGAAGATCCACTTAAAGACTCACACGTCCAACAAGCCATATAAATGTGCCATTTGCCGCCGCGGCTTCCTCTCGTCTAGCTCCTTACACGGACATATGCAAGTTCATGAGAGGAATAAGGACGGCTCCCAGTCCGGGTCCAGGATGGAGGACTGGAAAATGAAGGACACTCAGAAGTGCAGTCAGTGTGAGGAAGGCTTTGACTTTCCAGAAGACCTCCAGAAGCACATTGCCGAGTGCCACCCCGAGTGCTCCCCAAACGAGGACCGGGCAGCCCTCCAGTGTGTCTACTGCCCCGAGCTCTTCGTGGAGGAGACCTCGCTCCTGACCCACATGGAGCAGGTGCACAGCGGGGAGAAGAAGAACTCGTGCAGCATTTGCTCAGAAAGCTTCCACACCGTGGAGGAACTGTACAGCCACATGGACAGCCACCAGCAGCCGGAGTCCTGCAACCACAGCAACAGCCCTTCTCTGGTCACAGTGGGCTACACCTCCGTGTCCAGCACGACTCCCGATTCCAACCTCTCCGTGGACAGCTCGACCATGGTGGAAGCTGCCCCGCCGATCCCAAAGAGTCGAGGGCGCAAGCGGGCCGCTCAGCAAACCTCTGACATGACCGGCCCCTCAAGTAAACAAGCAAAAGTCACCTACAGCTGTATTTACTGTAACAAGCAGTTATTTTCAAGCCTCGCGGTTCTGCAGATTCACCTGAAAACTATGCATCTGGATAAGCCAGAACAGGCCCACATCTGTCAGTATTGCCTGGAGGTGTTGCCTTCGCTCTACAACCTGAATGAACATCTGAAGCAAGTGCATGAAGCTCAGGACCCGGGGCTGCTCGTCTCCGCCATGCCTGCCATTGTGTACCAGTGTAACTTCTGTTCCGAAGTTGTCAATGACCTCAACACTCTTCAGGAGCACATCCGGTGTTCACACGGGTTTGCCAACCCCGCGGCTAAGGATAGCAACGCGTTCTTTTGTCCCCATTGCTACATGGGGTTCCTCACTGACTCTTCCCTTGAAGAGCACATCAGGCAGGTCCACTGTGACCTCAGTGGTTCCCGATTCGGGTCTCCCGTGCTTGGGACGCCCAAGGAGCCAGTAGTAGAAGTGTATTCCTGTTCCTATTGTACAAACTCACCAATATTCAACAGCGTTCTTAAACTGAACAAGCATATCAAGGAGAACCATAAAAACATTCCCCTAGCCCTGAATTATATTCACAATGGGAAGAAATCGAGAGCCCTGAGCCCCCTGTCCCCTGTGGCGATTGAGCAGACGTCTCTGAAGATGATGCAGGCGGTGGGCGGCGCCCCTCCACGTCCTGCAGGGGAGTACATCTGCAATCAGTGTGGTGCTAAGTACACATCCCTCGACAGCTTTCAGACCCACCTCAAAACCCACCTGGACACCGTGCTCCCGAAACTGACCTGCCCCCAGTGTAACAAGGAATTCCCAAACCAGGAGTCCTTGCTGAAGCACGTGACCATCCACTTCATGATCACCTCAACCTACTACATCTGTGAGAGCTGTGACAAGCAGTTCACGTCGGTCGACGACCTGCAGAAACACCTGCTGGACATGCACACCTTCGTCTTCTTCCGCTGCACTCTGTGCCAGGAGGTTTTCGACTCGAAGGTGTCCATCCAGCTCCACCTGGCCGTGAAGCACAGCAACGAGAAGAAGGTCTACCGGTGCACGTCATGCAACTGGGACTTCCGCAACGAGACGGACCTGCAGCTGCACGTGAAGCACAACCACCTGGAGAACCAGGGCAAAGTGCACAAGTGCATCTTCTGCGGTGAGTCCTTTGGCACGGAGGTGGAGCTGCAGTGCCACATCACCACGCACAGCAAGAAGTACAACTGCAAGTTCTGCAGCAAAGCCTTCCACGCCATCATCCTGCTGGAGAAGCACTTGCGGGAAAAGCACTGCGTGTTTGAGACCAAGGCGCCCAACTGTGGGGCCAACGGTGCATCAGAGCAAGTGCAGAAGGAGGAGGTGGAGCTCCAGACCTTGCTGACCAACAGCCAGGAGTCCCACAACAGCCACGACGGGAGTGAGGAGGACGTGGACACCTCGGAGCCCATGTACGGGTGTGACATTTGCGGAGCCGCCTACACCATGGAGACCCTGCTGCAGAACCACCAGCTGCGGGACCACAACATCAGGCCCGGAGAAAGCGCCATCGTGAAGAAAAAAGCCGAGCTCATTAAAGGGAATTATAAGTGCAACGTGTGCTCGCGAACCTTCTTCTCCGAGAACGGCCTCCGGGAGCACATGCAAACCCACTTGGGACCTGTCAAACACTACATGTGCCCCATCTGCGGGGAGCGCTTCCCCTCCCTCCTGACGCTCACGGAACACAAGGTCACTCACAGCAAGAGTCTGGACACAGGCAACTGCAGGATTTGCAAGATGCCTCTCCAGAGTGAAGAGGAGTTCTTAGAGCATTGCCAAATGCACCCTGACTTGAGAAACTCCCTAACGGGATTTCGCTGCGTGGTTTGCATGCAGACAGTGACTTCGACCTTGGAACTGAAAATCCACGGGACATTCCACATGCAAAAGACAGGGAATGGGTCTTCTGTGCAAACCACAGGGCGTGGCCAGCACGTCCCAAAACTGTACAAGTGCGCCTCTTGCCTCAAAGAATTCCGTTCCAAGCAAGATCTGGTGAAACTTGACATCAATGGCCTGCCGTATGGTCTGTGTGCTGGCTGTGTGAATCTCAGTAAGAGCGGGAGCCCGGGCATCGCCGGTCCTCCTGGCACCAATAGACCAGGCCTGGGCCAGAGTGAGACTCTGAGCACCCTAGAGGGAAAAGGCAAGGCCGGGGGACTAAAGACGCGCTGCTCGAGTTGCAATGTCAAATTCGAATCAGAAAGTGAACTCCAGAACCACGTCCAAACAGTTCACAGGGACCTCATGCCGGATGGCAACAGCACGCAGTTGAAAACGCCACAAGTGTCACCCATGCCCCGAATCAGCCCCTCCCAGTCGGATGAGGTAAAACTCGCCTTTTTAATGTTCCCTATTTACCCTCAGAGAAGTCATCCCTGCTCTGTGTTTACACTTGCCCCAGCTTGGTTTATTGTCACGTGTGAAGGGATGTTTCTATTGAAATGCGATGGGTCCTCCCCGCCCTTAGCCTCCCTAGCTATTAGCTGGTGATCATTTGCTTCTCCATAAGCAGCATTTTGGCTTGAATGGTGCAAAACAGGACTATTTCCAGTCTCCCTGGGATATTGTCTTTGCTATGACTGAAGAGACCAGTGCGCATGCCAGCACCACTGAGATCTGGAATCTCAGCATAGCAGCACGGTGCACTGAAATTCCCAGCTATGACTGGTGTGCATGGCACAGAGACAATGCCTTGAAAAGTAAGACTCCCTGAGCCAACATGCTGACTTCCAGGGTAAACGGACAAGAAAATATATGTGTATATATATTGCATAAATATGAGGGAAAGTAGCTTTTTAGTACTGTGTTAGCAACAGTCACTGCTTTTCTTTGTCTTTTGAGTAATGATGAAAATATTTTCTCACAACAGCATCTGTCAAACCCCTCTGCATTGATTAAGCACCACATGGCCAATTCTCTGCCTCTTCACTCTCTAGATTCAAGTTGCAAAAGCATATATCCTCCCGCCCCCAGTTGAAGAGCAAACTTCATGTTCTCTTAGCCGCAACGAGTACAAGAAACATGTCCATTTGAAATGAAATCATTTTGTAAGTCATCATGACTTGAAGCTGAGCAGAGGTGGCTTCATTTTAATATGATTTCTTTATGCGTTATCAACTGGTTTCTAATAGGGCTTTGCTCTTGCCTACCTGTTCCTATCTGACAATCCATCCAAATGAAAACCCCAGGGAGATGCATCTCCCTTCAGTTTGGGGTCAGTTCATTTTCCTTATCTTCCTTCTCCACTCGCACCCTCTTGGTGGCCCCCCTGCCTCTCCCTGCAGATAGCCATCAGTCAGCTGGTAGGGGAGAGCTGCGAAGACTGATATGGGGCCGGCTTCACGCACTGTGGCATCTGTGTGACAGGCACACTCCCAAACTTTGAAGCTGCCTTTCCTTCTCCCACCCCAAGTGAATCTGCACTCTTCTCATTTAAATAAGTGAAGTCTTTAAGACCGACAAGGGCAGCTGGGAAGGATAAAGGATATGGTGTGATAATAGCTCAAGACTCTTTGAAATGAATGTTGATAGGGCAGTTATTTATGAAATAGATCCATTTTCCAGTTTCTTATTTACAAATGTTTAAACCTGTGGAAGAGTTAAACAAAATGAGAAAGAGGGTCTGTGTGTGTAAGAGAGAAAAACAGAATGTGAGTGCACGTCCATCTCCCAGACTGCCCAAAGGATCAACATTTTGTGACTTTTTTCCTTTATTTCTGTCGAATCATTTTCATTAGTCTGAGTCAAATGAAAGTTATGTTGATAATATCATCACATCTTTATAAAAAAACCTTTTTCATATTTAATAATAACCTTAGCTCAGGAAATCAAATAACCTGTAAATTAAGTAAACCTGTAGTATCATATGCTAAAGGTCTATATTTAGATTTCCTTAATTGCCCCTAAAATGTCCTAAAGCTTTTGAAATAAGATTTTTTAAAAATAAGATTTATGCACAAAATTAATTCTCCATTTTTTTTTCTAAATTTTACAATCTAAAGAAGTTTATATATTACTATTTAATAGTATATCAAGCAAATTAAAAGTTACTGTATTCACTTATGTGTTGATATGTATTTATTTAAAACCAACTCTACTTTTTCTTACTAGATCATTCATGGAAAGATACATACTTGTTTCTTTGCATCTATTCATGGCTTATATTTTCTGGTATATATAGATAGAAATTACTATGCCTCCAATATCAGATATGAATGTGGACAAAGGAATAGTCTTTGTATTATGTTAATATAATTAGGCAAATTTATTCATAAAGCATGATCAAGTCTTTAATTCTATTTAAATTCTTGATTATAATTAAAAGCTTACTGATATTTCCTACTTACATCAAATAATTTTTTAAAAATACTTGTTTTATTCTTAAAATAGTGTTGTGTTTTGTTGGTTTATAAAGGTCAAAGATGTTCTTTTATACAAAATAGTACCTCATCATTGTTACTGATAATAAAAACTGTAGCAATTTCCTTAAATTGAGCAAATAATAGGATCAAGTTGCACATTTTCTTGTGTGTCCCAAAATATCCATAATTTGTTCACCATTTTCATCATCATCATTATCATTTTTTTTTCTTTATTATGTAAGTCAGAAAATAGTCTGGGTTTTCTTTTTTATTGATACCTTGCATAGTGTGAGATGTATGTGAACACTACTGTTTGGGCTTGATGTTGAAAATGAAATGTATAGCCCATAAACCAAACCCAGGACTCATGATGACTCTTCATTGGATTACAATGGCTGTAAATCATTATAGAAGGTAGCCACCATCTTTCTCGCAGTGGATTTTCTGTTTAGTGGATTTGAACTGGACTTTTCAGTACACAGACCCAGTACATTAAATACTATACCACAAAAGAAGTCTAAGAATAATGTCAGCAAGGGGGGGAATAAAGAAATAGCATGACAATTAAAAAGCTTACATTTTAAAAAAAACAACTTACATTCACTGTCAACCTCGTTAAATTTCTGTGGCTACCCAGTATGAACACTATGTAATATTTTTCACTGATTAGGTATAAGTCTGTGCTGACAGACAGGTATATGATGTGGGAATAAATTGTATCAGTAAATGGAAGAATGATGTGTATGTGTATTGACTTCAGTGTCCTAGGTAGGACTTAGCAATGTAGGTGGTATTTTCATCTCCTCTTCTTGCTGAGGAGTGAGACTTCAGAAGAGAAGAAAAGACCACAGGAGATAATAAAACCTGCATACATAGATATTGTCAATAACAGGATTAGATTTTGGAGGGCCTGTGATTTATGATCACAGAAGAATATTCGTAGACACTGGTGGGTATTTTTCAAAGACAAAGTGGACACTATTTCAATGAAACTCAATTACCTAAACAAAAAGGACTTAAATATATAAATCTAGGGAAGAATAAGTACTATATTAAAAAATGCATGTTGAAAAGTGGACGAAAGACAAGATATATAACATTCAAAGAAGAATAATAGTAACTGTTGTTATGTACTGTGGACTCGGAACTACCTCTTAGCTGAGTCTCCAGTGTGTTTTCTGAGGCGGTAAATCGCACGGAGGAGATTGTCCCCTTTCCTCCCCACTGCATGTCTTTGGGTTGGCAGGGTAATTCGTACCAGTAAGCCAGCAGACCTCCTTTCCTCATAGTTAGCTGTCCTGTAATGGAGAGACCTGGAACTGAAGATAGTAGATATGGAGATCAGAATTTGTATCTCAGAGCTACTGTTTCACATTTTCTAAATTTGTGCCCCAATCCTGGAATCACAAATTCAAATTTGTAGTGAGGATTTTGTCTTGCATAACTTTTGGGGGAATTTAATTATTTCCCGTTTCCTTTCAGAAATTGAGTATAATATAAATCTACACATAAATCACAATGGTTGTAATCCAGAGTCTGATTTTCATAAATAACCAAAGAAAGGTCTGCTATTCCTAAAAAATCTAATGAGTTCCTGGCTTTCCCCCCGCCCTGTTTTGAATAAATACTAGCTGTTGTCTGGAGTGCTTTATGAGTCACTTTACTGTCCTGTCTGAAGCCCTGTCAGGTCTTCACATTGTCTCATGTTGGAGTTCTATGAGGAATACCTGAAGCATGTGTCATTGTCTTCATTTCACTTAGTTAGATCCTCCAAGGAGTTATTTAAGCACCCTTCAACTGACATCATCCCCACCAGTCCATTGATATTGCTCTTGCCATGCCTCCTGACTGACTTACCAACTTACCTCCATGCTGCTTCTTGTTCAGTACCCTTGAGTCTCAGCCGACTCATAGCTGACTCTCCAGCAGGGCACAGGAGACAAGGGAGATAAAATCCCCCACGCTGCATCAGAACTCAAAAGAATGGAAATTATCTAGTTCATCCACTTGTAAAAAAACAAAGGGAAGACAATGACATGAATTATAATTTGTCCAATAACACCCAGGAGCTCTGGTGGCCAAGTGCCAAGAAGCTTTGCTGCAATCTCGAAGGCTGTGGTTCGAGGCCACCAGCTGCTCTGCAGGAGAAGTATGGGCAGTCTCTTCCCATGTGATTAACTGCCTCTACAACCCACTGGAGAGGGTCAGCTGTGGGTCGGTTCTGACACTACAGCACACAACAACAAAACCAATAACATAGAGCTACTAAATGGTCACCAGGAAGAGCAAGCCTTGATCTCTTTAGCTACTAATTCAAGATCGTAGTTCAACTGACACATAAAAGCTAGCCATAGTCTAATTGGAGTCATTTTATAAAAGTCCTTGAATCTTCTCTTGCCGTTCACTTCCTTCCTCCTCTGGTTGAGGCATGATGGCTGTTCTGCTTCCATCACTCCAACGCAGGTGTCTTCTTCTGGGTCTCTGCTGACCTAAAGACCACTTTTAGAGTAATCCAGATTTCCTCCTCCTCTAGTATTACCTGTTTCCTCTTTATCCCTGTGTCCCCGGTTCCCTTCCTGCCTCTGTGAATGCCATGTATCCTTCCTCTCCTTGCTCTTGCAAATAACTGCTGTTCTCGTTCTGCAAACTCTCCTCTTTCTCTGTTCCTTTACCCACCTCCTGTAAACTGACAGCTCGCCAATAGCAGAAGGGTCCAACATCCTAGAATATACTTAAATCTTCATTGTCGTGGTTACATAATTGTCAACATTATCCACCAGATCAAGCATAAAATTGGTGAGGTTATTGTATTAATGTATGATGGGACTTACACAATAAAGCCATTTTTGTTTTCAGTAGTATTTCCAACTAAGATCTCACCGCTGCACTTCAGACGGATAGCTGGTGGACATGTCTACTCATATGATTCTATGAATTTCCATCTCCTTGGCTCCGAACCTGAAC